TGTTTGAAATAATTTTCATAAATCATTATGGGTAGGACTATATAAAATATTTTGAGACTTACGAGGTGAATGTGTAATTTACATTTTGCAAGATATAACTAAATTTAATGTAAAAAAATTCATATGAAAACACGTTATTGACTTGTGTAAATAAATCTGGAGCTACTAGAGTCTTTTAGGGCTTGTGGCTTGTCTTATCCTATTCTTTCGTTACTTAATGTTTTCTCATTATGTTTAAGTTAATTAATTTAAACAAAACTTTTAAAAATAATAACAATAAAGTTGAGGGGTTATTATTGTTATTTTACCTTTGAAAAATTTGCATGATAATCCAAAGTCCGGTACGGACTTGTTTTTCCAACCGGCTGAGGGTATTGGCACCTGGTCTTACGATATCGACACTTTTATTCAATTGTTAGCAAATTGTGTGCAAATCCGACGCGGACTTGACTTTCACTGTGAAGTTATTGACACCTGATTTTAGGAGTTGACACTTTAGGCAATTTTCAGGAATTATACAAATGAAGTTTTAATTCTTTGATGTAAACCCTACTTCTCTTTTAACTAGGAATTTTTTTTTAATTGTATATTGTTTTTTTAAGGATACATAATTTATATTATATTTTATGTGAAAAATATTTATTAATATAATATAATTTTATTTAATGATTATATGTGCAGAGAAATTATTTATTGAGTGTTCTAATTTTATAAATAAAATAATTGTTTATATAATAAACATATATATTTATTTTGTCTAGATTAAAATACATATTAAATGCAACTCATAAAATATGTATTAATTGCAAGTTAAAGATGTATGGTTAATGACTAATAAATCTTTTATATAATATATTTTTCATATTTTGGTTTGAAACTATTTTGTGAATATTATCATGCATATAATATATATTATGAAATACATCTTAAATATTAAGTTTCAAGATTTTGTTAAAGTAGTTATAGCCTAGATTTTGTTAAAGTAGTTATAGCCTATTACAAATGGAGATAAGTGAGTTTATATACTCTATTATTTATATATTATAATATTCTTATGTTAAATTTCTTAAAACTTATTGTACTATTCATTTGCAAAGTTTTAAGTTTGACTGTTAATAAGGAAATTTATGGTGATAGGATAAATAAATAGATAATTATGACAGTTTAATTAATTTTCATGAACAATTATTTATCTTCATATGTGGTTTAACATATGGATTTTGTGGTATTGTATTTTCTATTTTTGGATGTAAAGAACATTTTTGCAATTGCCAATGAATTATCTATAAAGATTAATTATGCATTTAGGGAAAGGATACTTGTTATTTTCTATATATTAATTATATGAAAGTTTAGAAAATTTTCAAAAAAAATACATATATCAAAAGTGGACTAAAGATTCTAGAGAATTATAGTTTCAATGATTTATCAAGTTATATCAAGACAAATGTTGGTATTTTATTTAAGATGAAATTTTTTTTTTATATGTGAGTTTTAACATATGAATTCTATAATTAAACTACTTAATCTCTAAATTTATAAAAAAAGTTTTGTGGAAATAAAGGTTAGATATAACTCATAATATATAATTTAAAGATTAAATAGTTAGATATATAATAGATTTTGTTGGTAATTAATTACCTTCAAGAAATTATCATGGACGTTTATCATGTATATTGGTGAAAGTTTAATTGTTACGTTATTTTGAGTATATGAAGTTTAAAATTTCAAAAAAGAGATATTTGATAAAGTTTTATGAATTTTAATATTTGTTACCTTGACTCATTTAAGAAATTAATAATGATTTCACGTGATTTTATTTTAGTATTAAAATAATGAAACCAAGTAATATTAAAGAACTCCTTGAAAGTTTTAGAATTCTCTCAATTTATATATTATAATTATTAAAAAATTACTACTATTAAAAGATAAGAAAAGATATGGTTGAAAGGGATTATAGAATGATATGTATAGATAAAAGCCCTAATAAGATTTTATGATCAATAAGAGTAACATTAGCAGTTCATTTATGGCAAAAGCCCCTATTTGCACCCTCCATTTATTTTTTTTTCACAGTCAACACCTTTCAGAATTTTTCCTCCCTATTCACACCCTCAATTTTTCAAAACCCGTAAAAAACTCAACATTTTAACGCGCCGTCACGGTACCGTTACAAAATGTGACGTGGCCATTTTGTGCCGTTAATAATCCAATGTGGATGCCTTTTTTTGATGAT